AGAACAATCACTATTAATATTTCTGCAAAAAAAAAGGTTCTAGAACGTGAAGTACTAAACTATTGGATGAGATTTAATAAATATATTCTTCAATCTTTATTATGAATATATTGGCATCGAAATACTGTATAATATTTATTATGATATTACCAAAAAAATATTGAAGGATAGGTTTTAAAAATTGAAAAAGGGCAATTTATAAGGAATCAAATATTTGAATATGGAATTTTATATAAAACCTTTGCATGGTGATAATAATAAATATGCATAAATAAGTTAACAAAAGGGAAATGTCTAAATAAACTTAAGGTATACTATTTTTTTTTAAACTCGCTATCAAATGAAGAATTAATAATTATTAAAAATATATAAAATCTGTTAATTGCTTTAATTAAAGAACAAATGTTGGAAACAATTTTACATTTAATACAAGAATCAAATACAATAAGCAGCCCTACATTCGTATTTGCTTATTAGCCAATAAAAAATTGAAATAAAAAAATTCTTATTTTTGAGTTACTTACTGGTAAGCATATAATGTTTTTAAGTATCTCTTTTTGCTTAAACTATTGAAATAACTGTGAATTAATTCTCAAAATTTTTTTATTTAATTTAATGTTAACACCAAAAATGATAGAAAATGAAAAAGATTTTTTTTGCCCTTTAGGACATAATCTACAAGTCGTAAAAATTCTACTAGATCCAAAACTATCAAAGGATTAGAGACTTTTGTGCAATGAATGTTTAAAGCATACAAAAATAGATGCAAAAATGGTTGAATTATAGAAGATTTTTTAACTAATTGAAGATCATTAAGTAAGGAAGATGGGAAGAGTAGAAAACATAATAATGGATTAAATTAAGATAATTTAATCATTACAGAGTATTTTTGATAAAATGAAATAAAATGTGATCCAATAATTAAACTAATTGATCAAGATTATGATGGAATGGATTTTGCATTTGTAATAATTTGGATCATAATATTCTAAATATAGTTTTTACCAAGAATTAGAAATTATGTTATTAAATTAAAATAAAGCAGGTAATTTATAAAAAATAATCGATGATCTTGAAAAAAACAATCTTTGTTGGACTTAAAAATTGGGTAATAAGTTTGATTAATTTAATTTATTTGTAGAATATAATCAATGTAAGTAACTATTAAAGAGTTTAGAATCAATTACTTAGAATTATTCACTAAGTGAATATTAATAATAAATTAGTATATAACCCAAAACTATAAAAATACAAGAAATTAATACTAAATTAAATATTGAACAATCATTAAAAGTTTATCCTAATCATTCAACAAATCTCAAGCCTTTGAATTTTTAAATAATCCAAAAGTCTTCAATTTCATAAAGCGATACCTGTTTTGCTATAGCTTTTGATAATGATTGTTCAACATTAGTGGCTGGATGTGATTCAAAAATTAAAGTATATGAATTTAATTAAGGAAACATCAAATAAATTTAAACTTTATATGAACATAAGGAATGGGTATATACTTTAAACTTTATGAAGAAATAGAAATAATTTATATCTGGAAGTCGTGATAAATCTATTATAGTATGGAAATAAAATTAAATGAATTTATGGAGTTTATAATAAATATTAAATGGGCATAATTATTAGATCTTTTGTTTAGTAATAAATACAAATGATGATCTAATTATTTCAGGGAGTGGTGATAAAACTATTAAATTTTGGATGAAGAAGAATGAATGGTTATGTTAATAAACAATTACTGATCACTCTAATCATGTATATGGATTAAGTTTGAATTAATAATAAAATAAAGTAGTATCATGTGGATATGATAAGATTATATTAATAATAGAACAATCAGAATGGAATAAAGAATGGAAAGTAATATAAAAGATAACGATTGAATAGTGTGGATATCGAGTATGCTTTATTGATAATAATATGTTTACATTATCACCAAGAGATAAAGAATAGATATTTATTTTTGAGATGAATACTATGAATAATTAATTTACTAAGACTAAAGAGATTACAATTTAGTGTGGATCAGATGGTCAATGTTTATTTCCTTTATAATATATAAATTCAAAATGTATACTATTGAGTAAGAATGGTGAATATGTCAATGTAATTAGGAAAAAATAATATGGAAATTTTCTAACTGAATAATCTATTCATTTTAAAACTACTTGGTTATATGGAGGAATGAGTAATGATGGAGAGTATTTGATCACTTGGGATAAGGAATCAAAATAAATATAAATTTGGAAAGATGAAGATTGATGAACTAAATATAAATATAGATAAATATTGTTAAAATTATAATAATTAAAAAAAAGTTTAAGTAGTTTAATTTTAATTTATTTGAATGATTTGAATTACTAAAATAACATGCAATAGTTCATACATTTTGAATTCTACATAAAATTAAAATCTAATAATTTAGAATATAAAATATTCATTGAATTAAGTATATATATACATGTTTACCTAATATTTTATTTATATTTTATTAAACTTAAATATAATTGTAAATTCATTAAGTATTTTTATTTAAATTAAAGTTTGTTGAAAAAATAAAAAAATAATTCATTTATTTCCATCACATACACACTTTGATTTATTTCTATAATAGAATTAAATGTTTAGCTCATATAATAAACTAATTGTTTATTTTAAGATTTAAATCTTATTTCTTAATATTTATTTAGGATTACATGGAATTATTAGGATACAAAATAACTCAAAGAATATTAAATTAAAGGTGCTTTAAATCTTATCTCTTAACTGATTAACTAAGAGGAATTATACTTATTAATTGAATAAAATTGTTTAAAATTAATACTTCACAAATTGTTATTTTGTTCATAATATTATTCTTTTGAAAACTATATAAAATTATACTAATCTACAAAAAATTATGCAAATAATATTTTATAATAAATAAAAAATTTATTATTGAACTGCTTTGAAGTTTATTCCTTTATAGAAAAAATTTAAGATCGAAGGAATGAAGTTGTATAATCTTGAAATATTTATTTTAAATTTCTCAAAATGAAATCAATTTACCAATAAATAGAAGAATGTCAAGTGAAATTAAAGTATTGTTGAGATTAAACCTCATTAAAGGTATAGTTATTCTTATTAATTAAATTTTCCATTTAAAAAAATTAGCTTAATTAAATCAATTATTATTTTCAAAAATGTGTAAAAGGCAATAAATATAATCTATTATGATGATTTAGACCCCTAATTCATTATTTTTATTTATTTAACTTCTATTGAATGATTCTAGGTTATTTAATAATTTAAAAAAATAAATTTACTTTATTTCAAAATGGAAATTATATTTATAAATTTTGTTGTTACTACTTTAGATTAGAGCAATATAATTAACTCCCTATAAATTACATTTCCTTTTCCTAATGCCTTATACTCACACCTCTAGCTAGCCAAAATATGAATCTGGTAGAGCGGAAGAAATTCTGTGTCAAGGCTATGGTTTCTAGTATCTGTGAGTCTACCGTATGTAAGCAAGCAAGGAGTAGAATGTGTAATCAGAGTAATGAGAAACTTGAGCCTTTAAGAGGATAAGGTAACGATTTTTTCCCTAATTCAATCATTTTTATCAATCTTTCAGAATTCGAATAAATCTTTAATGTGAATAAGATAGGTTATAATTCTACCTGACTGGCTATCTAGGCATTCATAAAATATCAAAAAGGTTGAACCTTATAACAGTCTTAACAATTAATCATTTTTTATGATGAATTTTCAAAGGCATAGTAAAAAAAGTTAAAAAAAATCAGTAAGTTCCAAACTGAAAGTTGACTGAATCCAAAGAAAAATAAATTTGATTTTAAAAACATTTAATATTCAATATAGGCCTAATATTTTTGAATAATAAAGTGATAAACAAAAATATTCTTAATCATTTATTTTGTTATCACAATTTACTAGTTTTGAAATACCAGAGCTAAAAAGAACTAATAAATAATTTATGTTCAAAAATTTTGTTAATGAGGTGAAAAAATTCCAAAAAATTAATTTAAATAAGCATTCATACATCTATTCATTTTATAAACAGTATTCTTAAATAATATAAATAATATGTAATATTTATTCATAATTATTGGATTCCACATTCTTCAAATATCCACTAAATCAAAAACCTGTGAGATTCAGCTAATATAAAATAAAATAACATGTCATTAATAAATTTTAAATTGTTTTTTATTGGAAGGAAATGAAGAGGATTACTACCAACTCAAAAGTGTTGATAAGTAAATTATTTAAAAATCTTTTACAATTCCTTACAACAATATACCAATCTCCTATAATATATTCAATACATAAGATTATGGTAAGTTATAAGAGAAAATGATATGTTCATTATTTCTGAATTTCAATTATTATATAACATGTATGAACTTCGATACATTAAATTATGAAAAACTTAATGGTAATTTATAAGAGAGAATTAAAATAGAGACAACTATTTCATCACAAGAGATCTGTGATGAAATTTATTAATTAGATGAAAATTTTATATTATTATGTTAAAGCTAATTTAATTTAAAATAATATTCAGTAAGTTTATTAGGAGAAACTATTCTTCTACTTGAATATGATGTTTATTTTTAACTTAAAGATCAGTGCAAGAAGAAAATATAAAAGGTGGTCGGAAAAAATTAATTTAGAATTGCATTTTTTTAATGTTCTTTATGGAAAATTATTTTAATTAATCATTAAGAAATAGTAATAATTTTGGAATCTAAGATGAATGAAATTAATCCCCAACTAAAAGAATTTTCCAAGATAGACGATGTACAATATTGTGAAGGAGGAAAATCATCTAAATCCTTAGGAATACAATCTTTATATATTATAGAAGGAAATAATTATCTTCAGCTTAAATGGGAATCAAATTAGAAGATAACTTAAGAATTATTCAAAAGTGAAAATTAAATCTTAAAACTAATACTGTTGTAAACATGCAAAAATCTTATTCTAATCACTTATTAAGAAGAGAATAACTAATAATCATTTTAAAGGTTAGACAATGAGATTGTCTTAAATCAAGCTTTTGAAGTTGAATAGATACATTTTTTTTCAAATTTCCTCTTTCTTTAAAATTCAACAGAATTAATTATAAGAATAGATAAACATTTAAATTAAAAATATGAAATTCTGAATACAAAATTAATATATATGGAATCATATAATTTAATTTATTAAATAGACAAAACTAAAAAAATGGTAATATTTTATAGATATTTTCCAATTAGTGCTTTTTTATAACCAACTTAAAAATTTGTATATTTCATTTAGTTTTTCGATGGTTTCGAAAAATAATATATAAAGTGTATCAAAATATAATATGAAAATACATAGGATAAGAAAACTCCTGAATTAATAAATTTATAAATAGAAAAGGATTGTTCATAAAATTAGAAAACGATTTTGTCAATTATAGATTTTCAGTCATTATAA